CAGTCGTAGCGGCTGATAATCCGATTCAAGTCATATCAACAGATAGTTATGGCTATATATGTGTATTATGCTATTAAAGTATGATATGTCATCCACGTGGTGTCAATGTGGCATCCTCGTCAGCATCTTGTTAATGTACTGACGTAATCTCTTACGGTGTTGAAGTTTTTAACGAAAGTGGCTAAATTTGTCAAACATGTTTCTAAAATCTGGACATTTTGTGTATTTCTCATAAATTGGCTATTATTGTCACAAAGTCGATAGTTATGGCTATGTATGTAAATTTTGCCTTCATAATCTAGTTTCTTTTCATTAAATTTTGGCTCCCTATGTTTTTATCTATGTCGATTTGATTTCTTAGTTTTGTGGCTTCCCTCTGCTTCTTGTTATTCCCAAAATGAATATTAGTGGTGGTGTAGTCACATCTAGTTTTTTAAATCATATTTGAGTTTCTTTTGTAAAAGCAGGGGATTACGTCGTCGACTTGGGACCGCGACTCCATAGAGTTCTCTCTGGAACTACTTGACAATTTTGGAGTTTGAAGGGAGAGAGTTGGGGTTTTGGATCTCAAACACCCAAGGGACGAACTTTTGACTTTATAGAATATCCCAGAAATAAACACCTTTTAGCTCTTGGAGAGAGCTTTCCATCATTGATGTGATAATATGGTGGGCAACCAAATATTCTCAATTTGGAATAATCAACCGGTTTACCTGTCAAAATTTCTTATGGAATTTTATAATCTAGCGACTTATGTAGATAATGGTTGATTAAATAACAAGTTGTGGATACAACTTCTGCCCATAAATCACGTCTATGCCATAAATCTGCATTTGACATCATACACCAACTTCTTTCCAAAATTGTTCTGTTAAGTCTTTCGGCAATGACTTTTTGCTGAGGTGTTTTAACTAGAGTTTTGTATCTTCCAATTCCATGTGAGGAACAAAATTCATTAAACTTAGTTTCACAGAATTCCAAACCATTGTCAGTTCTAAGTTTCTTAACTTGCCTTCCTGATTGAGTTCCGCCACAGCTGAATGTTGCCTCTGAGGCAATAGGAGAGATGGGAACAGCTAGAATATCCTTAGCCATCTCAGTAAGAATCAGATATATTACAGAGTGTCGAGACCACCAACCCAAGATGTCAAACTTGACATCCTCATTGATACCATCAGTTTGACATTTCAAATAGATGTCAAGCTCAACAGAGCTACCTCTTGTTTCCTGCAGAAGTGCTTCCCTTTTCCTCTTCCTTAGTCTCTCCTCAAGCTTCTTAATCCTATCACCAACACCTTCAGCAGCACTACCACCAACAATGCTCTCATCTGTGGTAGGCTCATATGTAGAGGATGGTGTTTTTGATCCATACTTCCCTTTGTATAACTCAATCATCTGGCGCATCTCCCTTTTAATTCTAGTCTCAATTCCCCCCCCCCCACACCTCCATAAATCATTTCCAAAACCTCGGATACCAAATCAAGTTTACTTCTAGGATCAAGTACACATGCTATATAAATTAAGTGATTCACCTTCATGTTATCCTCATTCATAATAGGTGTCTCAAACCAATACTTTTGTACCTTTTCCTCGACCTTTTTTGCTATCTTTTGGATATCTTCATGGGAATCATTCTTTAATTCATGGATGATGTTATAAACTGGAACAAGCTTCTTGAAGAAGAGATGGGTAGTCACATATTTAGTTCCTGTACAATGAGAAGAGAACAAAAAAAATTAGAGTAAAACAAATAAAGATAGACAAATGGTTAAAATAAAACAATCAATTCAAATTCCACTTACCTGAGACTAGGAGGGTCAAGTCATTGAAGACTTTCAGATACTTCATCAAATTCCTAATCAGCTGTCAATCTTGTTCAGTTGGGAGACCACCTCTTGAGTCAACATAATCTCTAAAGGAATGATCGTGTATACTTGAATACAAAGTTGTAAACACTCCATCAAACCTTTTTGCTGAATCTAACATGATATAAGTGGAGTTCCATCTGGTCGGTACATCCAAAGACACCAATTAGGTTGACTCCACATTCAGAAATTCCATGGCAGTCTTGAACCTTGTCAACCTAGCTGGTGATGACCTCACCCACTTCACACAGTCCCGAACTCTATCCACAGTACCTCCAGTCACTTTCAGGCCATCTTGTACCACCAGATTAATGATGTGTGCCACACATCGAAACTGCAGAACTTCCCATCCATCAAATCACACCCCCACTCCTTTACCTTCATTCTCATGCAATCACTAAGAACATCATTTGAAGTTGAATTGTCCATGGTCATGCAAAACAGATTCTTCACCTTCCACTCTTCAAGAACTCCTGCAAGCTTCTCTGCAATATCCTTTCCAGTATGACTTGTTGTGATGGGAACAAAGTATAGAACCTTCTTCTGCAACTTCCAAGCACTTCCAATATATTGAGCAGTCACACACATGTACTTCTTGTTGTTATCAGAAGTCCATGTGTCCGTGGTGATTGAAACCCTGCCTTTGCTCTGTGATTCAAAAAACTCAATCAACTGCACCTTTTTATCCAAGAAGATATGGTAGCAATCATCTCTTATAGCTTTCCTCCCAGGTATCTTAAATAGGGGATGAACAACTATCATGAATTGCTTAAACCTTCCCTCTCCACAAAGAGAAATGACAACTCATCCATAATGATCACCATGGCTAAGGCATATCTAGCTTTTGCTTGATCAAACTTCCATAAAAGACTTACTTGACCACCACCCATTATATGCAAGTTCAAAACTGTCTGATCTTTTGTTGCTGCCACCTTAGCCAAACATGAATGCTTGTGGTTATTCATTGCAGTGGCCCCATTTTTGGAACAATGAGCTTTGATTTGAGTATGACAATGTATGCACTCTCCCATCGGATACTCGTCAACCACCACCTTCTTAAACACCTTCCAGCAATCAGCCTTACCCTCCGCCAGCATCCATTTCTTTAAGTCGAAGGTGTCTCCTTTATCTTTCTCTATAACAGTAGCATCCGTGTCAACAAATGGAGTCTTAGCAGGTGTACTTCCACTATCGACATGGGCGGGTTCAGCACCTTGAACAGGTCGACTTCCTGAATGCCCACCACGGCCCCGGGTCTGAGCAGCAGAGATTGTGGCACCCGCACCACCACGACCTTGAGAAGCCGGAGGTCTCCCACTGGCCACCACGAGGAGCAGTCGCAGAGTAGGCGCACTTCGTCTGCCACGTCCACCACGAGGAGCCGGAGGTATCGCCCTATAGAACTAATTACATAAATTGAGAAATTGAAACAATTACATATTCTAACAAGCATCATCAACTCACATTAGTACATTAAAACTTCAATTAATCATCCATGATCAACTCCCACAACTCACACAATGTCAATTAATCATCTAAAATTCTAAATCATCGTCAACTCATTACTCACACAACGTCACAACCACAATAATAATTTTTGCAAAATTACATCTAAAATAATCATAAATCTAATTCAATCATCATCAATTCCCATTATCAATAAAAAAAACTTACATTACAACTCAATTTCAAACTTCAAACGGCGGGACGGCGACTCGGCGAGATGGTTGTGCCTTGGGCGGTTGGCGACTTGGCGTTGGGGGGGGGGGGGGGGGGGGGGGGGGGGGGGGGGGGAGGGGGAGGGAGATGGCGGGGGAGGTCTCGCTGAGGGGTTGCTGGAGCCAGCAGGGGAGGTCTCGACAGTGGATGGTGTATGTGGTTGTTGGAGCCAGAAGCCGGCGGACGCGGGCTTCACGAGAGGGTCGCCGGACGCCGGGGGTCGTCGAGGGGGTGGCTGGAGCCTGAAGCCGGCGAACGCGGGAGGGTCGCTGGACGTCGAGGGTCGCCGGGGGGTTGCGTGGGGTCGAGGAGGGTTGCCGCGGCCCGCGGGTCGTGGGGAGACGATGATCGGCGGGGGAACGCGGCGATCGGGGAGCCTGTAGGGGAGGTTTGCAGTCGGCAGTGGCGGATAGGGGTGGAGGCAGCGGGGTGAGAGGGAGGGAATGAGGGTCGATGAAGGAGAATATGGTTGGGGTAGTTTTAGGAAGTTGACAAAATGGCGTCATTTTGGTGTAAACGGTGTAGTTTTGGGCTTGGGTTATCAATCGGTCGGTTAGTCGGTTAATTGGTGTCGGTTAGTCGGTTTATTCAAAGCTCCCATTACACGTTCCGAAGACTTGGGGGGCTCAGTTATCGGTTAATTGTTAACTCGTGGTTATTGGTTTAACCGGCTGGTTAACCGCTAACCGAAAACCGAACCTCTACCCCTACTCAAGAGTCAAACGTTCCTCCCTTTTAGGCTCGTAAAAATTAAAGCTCAATATTGTTCATATACTGTATATTTATACTTGTAGAGTGTACACCACAACATATGGACGCCTAATTTAGGTAAAAATCATACATTTTGTTGGATGAAAATTTGGAAAAAAAATCAGCCTATGATAATTGCTAAGAGACTAAGTCAATTCACACAAACACAACACTTCATTAAGCTCCTACCGTTGACATATATTTTTGTTAAGTGGATACTTCCATTGACAGTAAGATTGTATTAGTTGCATGTATTTATGTTAATGGTTAACTATAACTATGTGTTGATTGTTATATTTTATTCATTATATAAATTATGAATTGATGCATTAACCGGAAAATTTTCTCACTTAATGATAATGTGATTTTATATTGGTTAATCTGGTTAACCAATTAACCAAACCGATTGAACTTTAGTTTGTTGTATTAGTTTGGACGGTTTGATTATGATATGATATTTTATGATTAATAAAATTTAAACTTATTTGATTTGATAATTTTACCATGAAAACCATTTGAGCACCCTTAGTCCCTACTCCCTCCAACTAAATTCCTCGGGTCAAGGCCGCTGGAGAGGCCATTCCGGTCGGAACCGGTTCGACCGGTATGACCGTTGACACCATGTTTTTGCACTCTCGCGTAAAATTTGCCATTGACGGCAAGTAACTGAATCCAAACCTCACCTCATTTTCTGCACATTCCGCTTTTCCCACACCGCCACTAATCGCGGAAGATCTCCAGATTCGGTGGAAGCGCCTCTTCTTTTTCTTTCTCTGCCTGGGTCAACTGAATCCAAACCTCCAATTCATAAAACCTATTTCAGATTTCCCGAAATCCTTCTTCAGACGAATCATGATTCCCAGAAGAAAACCCAGTTCAAGATTCCTCCTTTTGACTCTCACTATCCTCCTGTTGATCAATCTCTCCGCATTCGTCGCATCCACAGAACTCGACGAAGACGAGGAGATAGACGAATTGCTTGCCATTGATGAGCAAGAAGATGAAGAGGGTTCAGCGGATCAACATCATCACGTGGAGCAGCAGAAGGAGGCCGAGGTATTGACCAAAGCGCAAAGGATAGTACTTGAGCTGAATAGCGACAGCTCTAACAGGGTGATTAGTGAGAATGACTTTGTTTTGGTTCTTGGGTATGCGCCGTGGGACACCCGGAGTGCAGAGATAATGCCTCAATTCGCTGAAGCTGCGAACAAGCTCAAGGAGTTAGGAAGTCCAATTGTGATGGCTAAGCTTGATGCTGAAAGGTATCCCAAGGCAGCTTCCGCGCTTCAGATCAGAGGGTTCCCTACTTTGCTTCTCTTTATCAATGGCACCTCTCAGGCTTACACTGGTGGATTTACTGGGTATGTCTTCCTTAGTTCCTTTCTTTCTGGAGCCTTGTCACTGTTGTCAGGGCACTGGTAGTTAAGAATTTACTAAAAAGTTTGATATTTACTAAAAAGACTGGTGATCCAGTGATTAGAGTAAATTCAGTTGCTGAAGCAGAGAAATTTCTTGAGACGTATCATATCTATGTTCTTGGTCTGTTTGACAAGTTTGAGGTACCATGACTGATTGCGTGAACCATTATTATGTTGCTTGCGACAACTAGAATAAATTTAGTTGAGCTTGTCATAATTGGTTGTATCTCCTAAACTCTTCAAACCTTTCTAGCTGCTCTAGACACTAGTAAACTTTGTATTATGTAATTAGATGGTAAGTGACATGTGTGAAATTTGAAAATATTTCAGGGTTCTGATTATGAAGGATTTGTTAAGGCGGCAATCTCTGACAATGGAATCCAGTTTGTCGAAGTGGGTGACCATGGAGTTGCTAAAGTTCTTTTCCCAGATATCAAGCTCACTAGCAATTTCGTTGGGCTAGTGAAAAGTGAAGCTGAGAGATTTACTACATATGGTTAGTTCAAAAGTTTCTTGATTTCATGTTAGATATTTTAACTACAGCTGTTTGTTTCACGCCTATAATGAAATACTTTTCTTAACACGTTTCCCTGATTTTGCTGGAATGCTGAATTTCTGTATTGCAGAAGGGGTCTTTGAGATGGACAAGATTCTGGAGTTTTTGGCTTACAATAAGTTTCCTTTAGTTACCAGACTGACAGAGTTGAATTCTGCCTCTGTATACTCGAGTCCAATCAAACTTCAGGTAGCTGCTACCTTTTATTTTACAATTTTGCTGAATCTTGTCTCTGTATCTCTCTGTTTCCCTTTATGTGTGAGAGTTCATCTGTATAGTTCTATGTGTTCATGAAGAGGACTGAATAAATGTCTAAAAGTTTGAATCAACATTATTGGTCTGTGAATATCTGCAGTGATTACCGTTTGCTATTTCTCATGATATTTCTGTCATCCTCTTCTTTTCTGAACTATTTTATGTTGCATTTGCTTTACTTTCCACAAATTTCACCGAGTTTCATATGTCAAACCACTCAGAAACCGACTTAGCTTAAAAATATACATTGAGATTGTGTGTTGCATATAGCACTTCCTTCTTCCAACGAGATTGCATAAGGGTACTCTGTTTCAATTGCCTTGAACTTTCTCTCAAATCTGAAATCATTCTGGAGCTATGACTATTTATCTGAAGGAAGATAAATTTGAGTATCAACTACTTTCATTGTGCTCCAGGTTATGGTTTTTGGACGGGACAATGATTTCGAAAGACTTATTGAGCCTCTGCAACAGGTTGCCAGGAAGTTAAAATCTAAGGTTTGTCTAAATCATTTTGTTACAAAATGTATTTTTATTTTGTGGTGTACTTTCTTAGATTGTCTTATTTGTGCAGATAATGTTCCTATACGTAGACATCGAGGAGGAGAACCTAGCAAAGCCTTTCTTAACTCTGTTTGGTCTTGAAGAGTCAGACGACACATTGGTTACACTCTTGGCCTTGACCTGAATTGTATTTCGTGCTGTCTTTATATTGCAAAACAGAGGTCGAAGCTAATGAAGTTGATCCTTGAATGCCTGACAGGTGACTGCTTTTGATAACAAAATCAGCACCAAGTTTTTGTTAGAAGCTGTGCCAACATCTGGGAACATAGAAGTACTATTTGGCTACTCCTATTCTAGTTTCTTTCTCTTTTCAGAGTATGGGATTCTGTATTCCTTCATGAATAATAATGGTTAGAATTGTTAATTGATCAACATGCACTTGTAGGATTTTTGCTTAGGCCTTCTGCATGGAAGTTATCCGCCTTACTACAAATCACAACCCGTGCCTGATAACGTGAGTTTCAGGATGGTTAAACTCTTGCTTTTATCCTGGTAACAAATAAAAACTTAGATGTATCATTCATTAAACAAATTTATGATTTATTGGTAATTATTCTTGTTTTTTATTGCAGAAAAATGCGACCGTCCAGGTGGTCGTCGGAAAAACGTTTGACGAGTTGGTTCTAAGTAGTCCGAAGAAGATACTTCTTGAGGTGAACAAATTTACTTCATCAAATGTCTCTTAAAGAAAATTTTAATGCCAAAAGTGGTATTTAAGCATTCCAGTAAACGTGATGGTTATGAAAGCAGATATTTACGCCTTGGTGCATCAACTGCGAGACTACAAGCAAGCAGGTTGAGAAGCTGGCAAAGCATTTCAAAGGGTCTGACAGCTTAGTCGTTGCAAGGATTGATGCTTCTGCAAATGAACATCCCAAATTGCAGGTTAGCCCTTTTCAGCTGAAAAATTGATGGGCTGAAATTGGAGAATTCACTTCTGAGTTTTGCCATTTGAAGTTGGAGCTAAACAGGGCCATTAAAAGTTAAATCGACTTTTAAAATGACGTGTTTTGTGTTCATTTCTGCAGGTAGCCGACTATCCGACACTCTTGCTTTACCCAGAAGATGATAAAGCGAATCCGGTAAAGACAACTGAAGACATTCATTTTCCCATGGGTTTCTCCTCTCGATTTCACTTTTACTAACAATGTCATACAAATCCGTATGTGCAGATCAAACTCTCAACAAAATCCAGTGGAAAGGACTTGGCTGCGACCATCAATAAGCATTTGAAGTCAAAAGTCTCAAAAGATGAACTATAGTTAGGGAACCTAGAACTAGAAACAGCAGTCAGGACTATTGAGAAGTTAACCATGCAGAGAGCTTCTAATTGGAATGCAGACTACAGGGTCGCTCTTACAAATATCTTCCGATCTGATGCAAATGCATACCATAGCGAAAGCGCGACTGTAGAGTCTGTTCAGTAGGCAGAGTGCATAATTTCAGTTGTACGGTTAATGTATACACAGATTGTTACATCATTGCAGCAGAACATCGGCTAGTTGCGCAAATGTCAAATGTGTATCACTCTTCTCCTCCACAATTTAGAGGCTCAATTAGGATTTATCTGCGACAAGCTCAGTAGCCAGTATGCCATTTGAGTATATTGTTATATAGTACTTAACCACTAAACAAAAATGCATACCGAAAACCGAACCAATAAGACTTATCGAATCACCTGTTATCGGTTTGGCTAGTGATTATTTTGACGACTAACGGTTAACCAATAACAACCTCCTTTTCTTTTAATATTTTGAAATTTCGTGTAGTGTCATTTTTAATAATAAAATATAATCATACAAATAATTCATAACAATTTAACTACACTTGTTCAACATTGTTAACATAAAATAATAATTATAAAAAATAACATCAATGCAATACAACATCTAATGTGACTTCATAATTCAAAGTCCAACACATAAAATTACAAATAATCAATCATTTTCATCCAATTAGCTAGCGAGTACCAACTAGCAAGACATCAAACATAAGTAGTACAAGACCATCATGATTCACAAACATCAAGAAACAAAGACTACTATGGTGCGAGCTTCGTTATGTAGACTGCAAAGGGGAGTAAGAGAGGGGTGACTTTCGGAATCTTACTCTTAAACATATTTGAGAGTTTGGGTGGAGGGTTGTTTTTCAATTGGTGTGATTTTTTTTATTTATGGAAACCTGATATACTATTATTAAACAGAAATCGACGTTACATCATCACGACCCAATTGGTCAACAAGATAAATCGGCGGCCTGTCAAACCAGACCAAACGCTCATCCTATCTCGTCTCTGCATGCGCCATAAAGTGGGCTGCATGGTTTGCCTCTCGGAAGATAAATCGCTAGCTGCTATTGGTCGCCTCATTGAGTATACGTCTCACATTTCGGCAAAGAACGCCAATCTCCGTCTACATTGTGTGCAGGTTCTGGAAGAATCGGATGATCATCTGACTGTCCGACTCAAGTATATGGAATCATAGTTCAGCTACCTTGCGAATTGGACTCCCATTTCAGCGGCCAAAGCTTCTGCCTGATCCACACTCCACTCCCCGTAAACTTTCTTTGCGGTCGCCGCCAAGAAACGACCTGCATCATCCCTTACAACCACACCCAGGCCTACCTTGGCATGGCCGCTTCCACTTCTTCTCGAACTGGCCCTCCCCCATTTCTCTAATAGCTTCCTCACTAAGCTGGTGCTCCTTATAGTCGATTAGGAAATAGTGTGCTCGAACAACAATCTTATCTTCCGATTTCTTGTGACCGTTGAAGAGTTGGGAATTTCGTTCTTTCCACAAGAACCACAACAAATTACACCATTCCTCCACCACATTCTTTCTCATCTGCTGCATGACCTGTCGTGTCCATTCAAAACAGTCGCCATCACTTCTTGCTTCAAAACAACCTCGTAGCGTCATTGGTCTCCATATACGGGTCATCCAGCTACATTATCCAAAGATACGAACTTGAGTTTCTTTAACATCGCTGAAAACAGGCACCGATCACTCCACTTCTTGCTCCGGGTGCTCACATGATCCCCTGTCGGCAGAGCATCTCTCATAAAATGCCACATGAACTGCATTACATTTGGAGGAACCTTCATCGCCCATATGCTTTTCCATGTTTCTCTATCCCCAAATGCATTTAATCCCATAACCTCCGATTCTCTCTCCAACCACACTCTGCAAGCTTCTATGGGGCCAGACGAGTTGATCAGTTTCGTCTCCTCCCCGTAGAGGGATTTGAGTAACGGCCCTGGCCACCGCATCCGGGAAACAAATTTCAATCAGTGTCACGTCCACTGTACATGGGCAACGGGTCGGGCCGTCCATGGGCTAGCTGATAGACCATTGATTGCACGTATTTTTACCTCCATTCCTGAGCAATTTGAGATGTTGATTCTCGTGTTTTAAGCCGATTTCACGCTAGGTTGTGTGTTTATGTCATATTTCAGGGCTTGGCGTTGACGTTAAGGCGAGGAAACGAGTTTCGGGTCGAAAGGAGGAAGTTTGAGTTGAAGGGTGCTGGAGGAGCAAAATACCCGGCCATGAGTTAAAATACCCGGCCGGGTAAAATTCTGAGGAGGCCGGGGATTTGTGTTTTTGGGATGTCTGGAGTCCAGAAGGGGGCCCGGCTAGAGAGCGAAAATACCCGATCGGGTATTCTTGACCTCGATCGGGTATTACCCCCTGTACCGCTGCGCTGCGTTTCGAAATCCCTGGCCGGGTACCTGAAATACCCGACCGGGGATTATCACCGGGGATCGCGAGCAGCTAGATTTTAAGGGAAAGAAGGCCAATTGTGAAAGGGTTCCGAGTTTTAGGGAAAGAAAGTGTAACCTAGAGAGAAAGCGACGAACCAGAGTTCCCAAGCGCCTTAGATCGATCTTCATCATCAGTGGAGCCCGGATAACGCTTGGAGAAGTGCCGATTGACGACCTGAAGCAGAACCTCATTCTTCACAGCATGTTTTCTGCTTCTAAGCTAGAGTTTGCTTCTCTCTCCATGGAGTAACTTCCACATTCACCTGCTATAAAGAACCCTAGATTTGTATGTTAGGTTTGATTGTATGAACCCAAGTATGAATCCATTGATTTGATTATATTCAATTGAGATCTGATTTGTTGAATGGCATGAATCCTGATCAAATTCCTGTTGTTTCTGCTTTGACCTACATAGAGAATATCTGCTTAGGTTGATAGAGCACCCTTGATTGAAGGTAGTGAATTGACGACTTTAGTCGAGGAGTCAGTTCACTATTCTGTACCGGATTTACTCCGGTAGTGGAGGTTTGGTTCTTTAGGGCCTCAATCTGTTTACTCTGGTGGAGGTTAGTTGCCCGCTGGGGACTCAGATTGAGAGGGTCTGGAGACCTTTAGTTGAGACTGCAGACTGTTTAAGAACTTCCCGCAGTATAACTATCTTTGAACTCGAACTTGGTAAATTACAATCTAGCTTAACTGCAGTCAAGGGGGAACCATATCCGGGTGACCTCTCTCAACTTGAAAACAACCTTTTACTGTTTTGCTTGTTTGTTTACTTGGACCTTCACTACACTATTCTTTCTTATACCAAAACTTCAATCGTGATTGATTCAATTATCTTGTATAAATTTTACTTGATTTACAACATAAAAATCGATCATTTTAAAATATGATAACTATCAACAAAATATTTTGTGTTCGCATATGAGATAATTGGTGTTAGATTATCTAGTAAAGTATGTTTAATAGCTCTCAATTTTCTTGATTTGTAGTATTGATATTCAATTAGTTTAATACAAACTCTTATGGCTAATAATTGTCTAATTATTTAAAAATAATTTGACCCACCAAAATCGCCAAACCCACCCACCATTCGTCGTCAACCACCCAACCCACCCACAACGATACAAATGGGTGAGTGTGGGTTATTTTTTCATGACCCACCATAACAATGGGTAGGTGGATTTTGCCCAAAAAACCGACCCAACTCACTCGTTCCCCATCCCTATCTGAATGACCAGCCCTAGCAAGGGTCAACATCCTCGTCCCTTAGAGTATCACACACAATAGGCCTAACACCCGACCGAAGCTTATCGAGATGTAGTACCCTGGCGTTCGCAAAGGTACTTGACCATTGACTCGAGGCCACAAATCGGTCTAGCCTTTCTTCAACCCAACCGCCTTGCCTTCTGGAATCATCCCACGTATAATTGTACCCTTGAAATACCAGATCGACCAAACCAGCCTCCACAAGACAATCCCGAAAGGTTGCAATCTCTGCTTCCGAAGCTTCGTTACATCCCAACTTTTCTTCCATCGTGAGAACCTGGTTGGTATCACCCCACATAACCATGACCCCTCCCACTGCACAGCTAGTCGATTAATGAGTTCCCATGTCTGTCACTTTTCACTCCCCTCCGGCCAGCCATAGACAAAAAAAAAAAAAAAAAAAGAAGCCAAGTACCATACTTGTCTTCCTGAATTTTAAGATCGATGTGATGAATAGAGATAGACATAACAGTGGCCTGAATTCCTTCCCTAAACATACGCTCACACCTCCTGCCCGATTTCATTGTGATATCACAGCTGAGAAACTATCACCATGCTTGAAACCAATTTCTTGTTGAATGATTTTGTTCTCAGCTTCCGTTTGTTTAGTCTCCATAAGAAAGACTATGTGTTTTAAATTTTTTAATAGAAGTGGCTAAATTTGTCAAACCAGTTTCAAAATCTGGACCTTTTGTAAATTTATAAAAAACTGGTTATTATTTTTTATAAATTCGATAGTTATGGCTATGCAAGTGAATTTAGTTAATTCCACCTGACAATATTTTTTTATTAAGTGTTGTCAAGTCAGCAAAAACGTTAGTCTAGTCAGAATATAAAATGACTCCATTAAAGTTATGGACATAAAAAATTAGTTAGGACTTTGCTACGGTGACTTGCAAGTCACCGTAACTTGCATTTTTCGGTCGACCTCATTTAGGATTAGGGGTGGGATTCGGTACGCCGGTAAACGGTTTACCGTTTTACCGAACCGTTTACCGACGGTATCGGCAGTCGAGCGGCGAATTGGGTGGGTCGGTATACCGAAACCGGTATCGGTAAATACCGACGGTAAATCGGTAATACCGATACCGAACCCAAAACGACGTCGTTTTATTTGGCAAAGATTTCAACCCTAGTTCTAAAAAATACCCACCCAGCAGAGAGAGCAGCCGCCACCCTTCCTTCTTCGTTTCAAAATCGCCAGTTCAGAGAGAGCAGCCCCCGCGTAGCGCCGCAGCCACCTCTCCTCTTCTCCTCTTCGCTGGACGTTGCTCCTTCTGCCGCCGCCGCCGACGACCCTGAATCCCTCACCCTCCTAGTCTCCCTTCCCTCGCCGAGTGCCGACGCCGCGACGCGTGACCAGCACTGAAACCCGCCGACGGCCCCGCTTCCCCGCCGACGGCCCCGCTTCCCAGCCTCCACCTTCCCGCTTCCCCGCCGACGGCGACCTGGCCCTGAAACCCTCTCCCTTCCCTCGGCGACTTGGAGGTAAGGCAGAAACCCAAACATCCCCGCCGACGGCGACCCGGAAAACCACCCCACGTCGTCCTTTGCGGTAATTCGGTAAACCGGTTTGTAACCGTTTACCGGTAATTCGGTAATCGGTAAACCGGTTACAAACCGGTATCGGTAAACGGTAAACAGTTTGAGCCTTTTGTTTGAAGCCTTCCAGATATCCAATCTTTCATCCATTGCCTTGCCTTTATAGAAAAACATACATACTTTCATGTGGTAGAGGCCCCTAGGCTCGTCTCTCATCCATGCTTCTCGAATTGAGCTCCAGAGTAGACTTCACAAATACGTTCCCATACTTAGCCATTTGCAGGCAGTTTCCCAATTTTGGCATAGCATCAGGTTAAAATGCTCTTCTGGACTTCCTATCGAGCTCTCAAGCACTTCAATGTATAGAGGGACACTCCAGCTTCAAAACAAGCCATTAATCTCCAATTTCCATCAAGCCAATTGTAATATATGAATATCCAAAGTAGACACCATGAAACTGTTTTTATACAAACAATAAATTAGGTCGACCTAATCGTAAATAAGGTCGACCGAAAAGTGCAAGTTACGGTGACTTGCAAGGTAACATAGGCAATCGCGCGGAGTATGTTTGGGCTTGACTCCTCTAGCCCAGTCCCTCTTTTAATTAATGATTGTGGGCTAAGGATTGTAGAATAGGCCTAATTGTCTCTCAATTGGAACCTCTAAGGCCCCAGTCCACCATTTGTAAAGGAGAGGTCTTTTTGGGCCGTAATCCGGAGGCGCCGCTAGAAAGTTGAAACTTATGAAGTAGGTCCAGTCAACCTTCCTTCTACCTTCCGAGCCGGAACGTCGGTTCTCGTTCTAACTTTCACTTTGCTTCAGGCTTCTGAGTTCTGAGCTCGCTCACATGACTTACTTGGACGAAGAAACCGCCGGGAAAATCCTCCGGCAGGTGGAATTCTACTTCAGCGACAGTAATCTGCCGCGCGACGATTTCCTCCGGAAAACTGTTTCCCGGAGTAAAGATGGCAGTATCCTTTCTCTACTCAATTTGAACCCAATGCACTCACTCACTCAACTACTCGTATTGTACTCCCGTATCGTTCGATTTCTCTCGGCTGTTTGTCTCTTGACTGTTTGTAACCAATTCTTTAGTGGTTAGCTTGGCTCTCATTTGCTCCTTCTCTAGACTCCGTGGCTACCTTGGATTGGGGAAAACGATGACAAAAGATGAAATCCCTGATAAGGTTTTGAACTCCGTTGCTGAAATTCTGCGTGGGTCGGAGTTTCTGAAAGTTTCTGACGATGGGAGGAAGGTGGGTAGGCTAGCTAAGCTGGTGAGGCCAAACCAAGTGATGAAGCAAGTGGACATCAGGACAATTGCAGCATCGCCTTTTGAATACGATGTGAAGATGGAAGATGTGGAATCTTTCTTTTCTCAGTTTGGTAAGGTATGCAAACTGATTAAGCTCTTAACTTGTTCATGGTCAATTCAATTTGTCTGCTTCCCCTTGTAGTACTATAGCTTAGTTTTTGAAGAATTATGTGGGGAAACTCATCCACAGGCTAGAATGTGGTTGTGAAACCATGAATGCTGAGTTACTTTCAGTTGAAGACTCGTCTGTCGTCTCATCATTGTTGTCTTTTCCAAAGATCAGTAGTGTCATTACCTTACTCTCTTTTTTACCTAAAATGTTTGATAGGTCAATAGTGTAAGGCTACCTCGTCATCCGATGGACATGAAGGTGTTCTCTGGCACTGCTTTGGTAGAGTTCTCCATGGATGGAATTACTGAAGAAGTCCTGAAGAAAAATTTAGTTTACGCTGGAGCTTGTTTAGATCTGAAACCGAAGTAAGCGTGGTTCTTATGCTTAAGCTTCAAGAGTTGATGTTTTTTTCTTCTTTTCTTTCTGAATCACTTTAGTTTATACGGGTGCTCCAAGAAGCTAGTTAGGGATACCTACTGCTAAAAGGGGATAAGAGTAATGATACTAAGGAACTGTTATTAGCTAATTCTCCGTGATGCATCGGTTAACCTCCATTTATGTAGTTTCTGTTTCTCTTTGGATGTTGGAGAAGGTTATTAAGTTGAAGGACGATGTATGGTTTCCCAAGTGTTTGCTTTGTGGGATTGAGAATTCCAGTTCCTTTTTTGAGATAGCTGTGAATTCTTTGATTTCCCATGGATTTGATATTTTATAGCCTAAGATTATCACTTGTATAAGAATTCGAAGTATTTTTTTCTCACTTGGTTCTCTAATTTCTTTTCAGAAAAGAATATGACCACGAGAGAGTAAAAGTGGAGGAAATAGGGAAACACAGTTCTTCTACTGCCTCAACTCACAAGGACTCCCCTGGCACAAAATCCGAGTTTGTTCTGCAGAGCTACTTCATTTGTTGAATGTGCTTGAATCTTTTCGGTCAACTGATTTTTTTTTTTTTTTTTTTTTGTGTTTGTTTCTGTTCAATTGCTAACAGATATCCTAAGGGGCTAATTGTTTCATTCTCATTGAAGAGGGTGCCACTTGCAAAACCTATGCATGGAGCAGATGACGAGCCTGTAACTGATGCTGCAGATGTTCGTAAAAAGAAGAAGAAAAAGAGTTCAAAATTCAGAGACAGTGGTGTTTTGGAAACTCAGGATAATCCTTCTTTAATTGCTGAAGCAAATTCAGAAGACACAAAGGAAATAAGTGAAGGTAACAAAGAGTCTGACTTTAAAGATATAGCAGTTACCGAAAAGATTGCTGAGCAAATCCCCACTAAGGAGAGGGATGATATCTTCCAAGGAGAGAATGCTGTCCATTGTGGAGACCTAAAGCAAGTCTTTCAAAGATTTGGTGCTGTTAAGGTGACATTTTGGTTATTAAAATAGCTCTTGATTCTCTTAAAATTCAGCTGAAATAATCTCTAGCTAGAACATTCTCGCTACTTTTCTCACTTGGATTGATAAATTCTAAAAATATTAACTGTTTCATTCTCTCTTCCAGCAAGTAAATTATGTTCAGGGTGGTGATTCTGGATTTATTCACTTTGAAGAACCGGAGGCCGCCATAAAAGCTTGTGCAGCTGCAGAATTTATTGGAGGCCTCCATGTCAAGCATTTCATCGCTTCCTTAAGAGTTCTTCCTGGTAGGAAAAGACTCTTTAACTTATTCCTTATAATAGCATACACACCCTTTGTGCAAATAGTTTCAGTACATTCTGGTTAATATGTACTGGTCTTGGATTTATTAGTTAATTCTTATCTGTCCCTCTTTGAGGTCCTAAGAAGTAAGACCTTTCTTGTTTAGCACTCCGCTATCCATGGACCATCTGTGAATAGAACATCCTTGAACTATTTATGGGCATCTAGAGAGCTTTTAAAGTGCTGGAATATGTATTAAACCGTTTTTATATGACCTGATTACCACCATTCACGGTGGAATTTACTCTGCGTTTGAATTATGGGTTGTTTTTTTACAGGCAAGGGTAAAATGGAAGAGTCAAATATGCTTGACCATGAGAAGGAAGGTCACAGGAAAAGTTCGACGAGGTACTTCTACACATATTCTTCTCCATTGCACGAAAGTGGTTTCTCTTTTTGTCCTTCTCTTCATTAGATGTATAGTACCGTGATTATGTGTCTTGCTCTTGCCTGCAGGAAACGAAGGTTTGACGAAGGTAAAGAATGCTGAGAGATGGAAGTTCCCACCGTGGTAAGAGGGATATTGTAAGTAGTTTATGACAGGGTCAGAATGGGTAGTACCGGTAGGTTTGTTTGACATTGTAGTTGCTGTTCGCACAGCCAATATCTGTATGGGCGTTTGCAAAAGTAAGGTATTTTGAAATGGGGAGTTCAAAGCATGATTGCTGGCTTTCTTTCGCCACAGCTTTGTGTGCTTGAACTCTTTCTGCCGGATTTTTGTTTACCCTGCCTTGATGAGCATTACTCTCTTTTGTTGTTGGGGTGTTATGGAGTCAAAATAGGAGATAATGTGTGGCTTAACAAGCTGCTTAAAGTGTCCATGAACCAATCTGGCGATACGCCGCCTCCAGGATGATGGTGGTGCTTATTGTTAATTTTCTTTTAAAACCCTTAGTACTCCCAGAATTGATCTCCTCCTCACAGCTGACCTCAAACTTTCTTGAAACAGTCTCTCGTCTGATTGCGGCTCGTATTGAAGGCCCTCGTGCTTAGTTGATGCATGTGTATGGCAAGCATTGTTCAATATCTGAGAGTCGTGGTACCATCGAGAATTTTGTCAATGAGTTCTATCATTGGAGTAGTGAGCAGTTGGATTCAAAGTGAATCTGGTTCTTGTATTGACCAGTCTCACTCTCTCATCTACCTTTCTTCAAATAACCTTATTTGACGAGCTATATTCGACTCATAAACAACATTATTATAACCAAGAAAGCAAACACATCCCTCAAATTTCATCTTTATAGAGCCTCTGTGGCGGGATCGTCCAACAAGCCAACTGCATCATAGAGGACTTGCTTCAGCTCGCCGAGCCAATGTTGCACCTGATGATTCAATCCAACAGTTGAGATTCGAGGGTTGTTTCCCCATCTGAAAGCCCGTCTACGGATCTCACACTTTGTCGAATCAAGATATGTACGGGACCGACTGAACATGCTGTATCATTGCACTAGCGCTGCTTCTTCTCGATAGATTGAGATCGTCCATTATATTTTGGATTTGAAGACAACGATTGATCAGAAAAAAAACTTAGAAACTTATACGGGATGTCGAGATGAAGATTCGCTTGTGAAATACTTCTTTTTTGGTTAATTTTGTTTTAGGGTTTAACTAAGAAGTGGCTTGAGAGGCCAGAGACGAAGAAGGCGAACTGCCGCGGAGAGGAGGAAGTCGTCGGCTTGATAGGAAGATGACAAACAAACACAAGGTCGCTACCGCTCTGCTCATTTGTCCCTGACCGCAAAGAGTCGAGCAATCAGAGATCCAGTTGAGTCTCGTCAGCGATTACAAATAGATAGTTGTTTATTGCCCATGTTTGATTCTTTGTTATTTCTATTTTTCACTCTTTAGGGTGGTTTGGAAGTTGGGATTGTTAGAGTTGTGTTGTGTTTGTTAAATACATGTATTATGCACTATACAAAGATTGAAAGTGTCAAAGTGTAGGTCCCACCAACAATCACAAAAAATTATGCATTATACAATCTCAACTAAAAGTTGAAATTGTTGTGATTGTTGCTTTTAGATTAGATTTGTGTCAACTTTTCTTTCCATTTCTATTCCTAATAGTTTTTGTCTTATACTAAAAGTTGAGGGTAAATATGACATTTCCCCATAAAAGTAACTTGTAAATCAATGCATAAATTAGAATCTCAACAACCAAACAATGTATTGTTAAAATGCATCCATTATATCAATACATGCATTTATATTATGGTGATTCATTACAATGCAACGATTTAGCATTCACAACTTCCAAACGACCACTTAGTGTATATACGTTTGCTTGTTTTTAACGGGTTAATTGCAACGATGGTCACTGGGTTTACTAAAACCGTTCATGTTTGGTCACTGTAAATATTTAATTTCATTCATGGTCACTAAGATTAGTTCAATAGTTCAAGTTTGGTCACTCTTCGTTAGTTTTTGCTGATGTGGCAGTCAACTATTATAGTTGACCGTTAAATGAGTGACGTGGCCATTAAAAAATTAATAAAATGATAAAATTTAAATATTTACAATTTCCACCTCATTTTACAACTATTAAAAAATAAAAATAAAAGTTACCTCCGCCATCTACGTCACCGTGGCCATGACGCGATCGTCTCCGCCGCCGGAGGAAGTACTTGGTGGAGGACTTGGAGGAGCCATTGATGAATGGCAAAGTTGTGAGCTGTAGCAGTGGGGAAGAAACGGATGGAAATGAAGAATACAACAGCAATGGGTCGATAGGAATGGTGCTTCTCAGCACTGCTGTCGCGGTTTGTGGCTCTTTCGAGTTTGGCTCTTGTGTAAGTCTACACCTCCCAACTGATTCACTTGCTCACATGGTTGGAAAGAAAGTTTGGATCTTTACTGTGTGTGAGAAAGAGGCAGTTTTAGGAATCAGAGAAGTAGGGGGGCCAGGGTTTTTTTCTTTCTTTGAATCAATGGTTTTTACTAAGTGGGTTGTGTGTCTGTGTTTCGTCTGGGATAGGAACGAAAATGAAATTCCCCTCAGGAAAAAATTATATGCAAAAGGGTGGGGAAAGAAGGTAAAAGGAAAGGTTTGTTTAGCTTAAGCTATTATTTTGACAGGTTGGTTACTCTGCACCTGTTCAGTCTGCAATTAGTGAAGATCTCAACCTGTCTTTGCCTGAGGTAATCAGTGGCGTAGCCAGACATCGAGTCCACTGGGGTCCTTAAAATTTTACTAACATAAATGCTTGTGTACCTAATGAATTTTGAGTTAACCGGGGTTCTTGGTGAGCTAACATCGTTGAGAGTATGGGGTCCTAAACTTGAATTATCGTACTAAAACCTATGTATTTAAAGGGTTTTGTTGCCCAATTATTTGCCAAGTGGGGTCCTAGGACCCCTCTCCTCCTTACCTCCCTCCGCCACTGGAGGTAATGCACCTTTCCTTCCCCTCCAGTTTTCTTCTTTCTCTTGCTCATCATACTCAAGACACTGAAACACTCTGTTTCCATCTCCCCTGCTTCAGTACTCCATGTTCAGCTCGATACTGACAATTGGAGCCATGCTTGGAGCTGTAACCAGCGGAAGAACTGCAGACTTCATCGACCGAAAAGGGGTGAGTTTTAGTACTCCATAGCTATGGAATAAGAATCATAATACAGAGTGTGAGTGAAATCTAAATTCCTCATGTTTCTATGTTTTTGACAAAGCACAGGCAATGAGGATGTCCGCTATGCTCTGCATAATGGGATGGCGGCGGAGACGATCGCGTCATGGCCACGGTAGTTTAGATGGCGGAGGTAAGTTTTATTTTTATTTTTTAATAGTTGTAAAATGAGGTGGAAATTGTAAATATTTAAATTTTATTATTTTATTATTTTTTAATGGCCACGTCACTCATTTAACGGTCAACTATAATAGTTGACTGCCACATCAGCAAAAACTAACGGAGACTAACGGAGAGTGACCAAACTTGAACTATTGAACTAATCTTAGTGACCATGAATGAAATTAAATATTTGCAGTGACCAAACATGAACGGTTTTAATAAACCCAGTGACCATCCTTGCAATTAACCCTGTTTTTAACCCACTCTTTTGCATATCTTTTGGTTTTTGATATCCCTCTTGGTGTTCCAATTTGTTGACTAATCTACACAATAAATAAAAGCCAAATGAGAAAACTTGAAGCCCCATTTCAAATTTCCTGCATCCAGAGTGAAAGTAGGAAGGACATTTTGATCTTCACAATTACTTTTTTTTTATTCATTAAAAAGACACTTACTAGGATTCGAACCATAACCACTTTAAAGAAAAGCAAAGATCATAACCAATCACACTAAGTACATTTGTTCTATTTTTTTAAATTAAAAATATATAATCGCATAGAGGAAAAAAACCCTTCCCCCATTTCAAATTCCCTACTCCGGGAGCGTTTGTAGGAAGGGTAGAATAGAGAGTGTCAATTATTTTCTTTTTCCTCTGTGGAACGGGCCAACTTACCGTACACATGGGGATTTAAACGGGTCCAGGAGTGTCAATTTTTTTCTTTAAGTCCTTTTATTTCTCCGTGGTGGTAAAATATATATGAAAAGGAAAAAACAATACTCCTTTTTATTGCTAAAAAGAAAAATTTAACAATAAACTAATGCATGGATTCTAAAATGCTAACCACTAATCATAAAATAAAAGAGTTGAATGAGCCTGACATACACGGGATTTGCCCATCAAGTAAAACAAATGAACATCATGGGTTTGCCATTCTAAAACAAGCTATTTTCTCTAGCATAATATATATTATGCTATTATTTTATATCTTAGTGGCTAAAATATAATGTATTTTAAAGTTATTCAATGGTTCAACCTCGACCAACCCAATTAGTCCAATTTTTATCATTTCAAATATATATTATGTAATTATTTGATATCATAATGATTAAATTATAGTGTATATTGTAGGAAATCGTTTGGTATTTGTTAGTAAAAAACTAAACAGAAAGATCTGTTTGGTTATTTTTAACATTAAAACGATCCTAAATATTTTCAGTTTCCTTTCGAAATTTCATAGTTTTATTCCCGAATCAGTGATGTGCAAATGGCGAATTGCAGTCATCTCTTTTCTTTCATTATTTTTTATTTTCAAATAGAAAGTTTAAAAGTAAAGAATAATTAGAGTTTGACATGGGTCGGTCAAACAGGCTGAATTTCAAGTTTTGGTCCGTTTTGATCAAATCTAATTTATAATCACATGGTTCCCTGATACCCGATAAAAATCTCAATCCAAACCAGTTTGGCAGGTGAGTCCATGTTTACCACCATTTTCTAGGGATACAGGAACGGTGGTTCCAATCCCAAATCGTGTTGTTCATTCTTGATTTCTTTAGATTTTATCATGGCTTGGCAAAAAACCAGAAAAACACAATGATGACAAGATGAAAGTTTTATAAAGCAAATTAATCGGCCAACGGGCAGAGTAAAAGGTAGCAACGATTTTGAGATGCTCATTTCCCGAAAACATGCGGGATAGTCGATTTTTATTCGATTTTATGGAATTCGGTTTCTATAAAACTTACTCCACCTCATCATATTACCGAAAACAATATTGTTTCATAAGGTAACAGGTACTTGATTTTGGTTCATAAGGCTGATTTTTGATTCGTTGCATCATTCATGTCTCTTTCCTACTAAAATTCACTATTTTTATCACGTGTTTTCCAAAAAAAAAAAACTACACAACAATAAACTATACACCCCATTACATTATCAAATTTCATACCACACCTTTCTTCGGCCAAATGGCCGGGCCCACGCTAGTTGTTTACTGTACCCAACGGACTCTGTGTTTGGTTCCTTCTTATTTCAATGTTGTCTTATTTTCTCTGTAATTCATTTTTGTTCTATTTTCTTGATGTTTCATTTTGTTATGTTATTTTTTCCTCTTCTATCCTAGTTGTTTTCAGACAACTCCAAGCCTCCTTCCACCTTTGCTCCACTAGCACTAATTCGGGTCTGATTGTACACTTTTTATCCTCGAATTTCTTAGGCATTTGAGACATTTGCACTTCGAGAGGTTTGGTTTTACGCTAGGTTTTGCCCCACGCTAGTTGTTTACTGTACCCAACAGACTCTGTGTTTGGTTCCTTCTTATTTCAATGTTGTCTTATTTTCTGTGTAATTCATTTTTGTTCTATTTTCTTGATGTTTCATTTTGTTATGTTATTTTTTCCTCTTCTATCCTAGTTGTTTTCAGACAGCTCCAAGCCTCCTTCCACCTTTGCTCCACTAGCACTGATTCGGGTCTAATTGTACACTTTTTATCCTCGAATTTCTTAGGCATTTGAGACATTTTCACTTCGAGAGGTTTGGTTTTACACTAGGTTTTGCCTTGTTTTAGTGTGTTTCAGAGTCAAGCATGTGGAACTAGCCCGGGAGTCGAAAGTTGGACGAAAAGACGCAAAATCGGGTCAACGGATGGAGGCAGCTGCAGATCACGGCATAAGAAGAGAGTTCATGGTCAGACAAACCGTGACTTGAAGCCAGAGACCGTGAAGATCCATGCGTCCAGAGCCATTTTCGTTCTCACTGGACTCAAGTCAGTTCACGATCGTAAGACCGTGAACCCAAGCTAGAGACTGTGAAGAGCCTAATTGATGCAGTGCATTTTTGCTCCAGATCACGATCCCCGCCCGATGTTCACGGTCGTGAACTGGGACCGTGAATCGAGCTCGACCTGGGTATAAACGAGGCTTGATTTGAAGGAAGAAAGAGGGGAGACCTAGTGTGAGAAACTTCTTCTTCTTCAAATTTCTAGAGTGAGAAAGTGACGAACCAAAAATGAGAGGAAGTTAGGATTTCATCTTTAAGCAATGTTTTAGGAATTCCTTCCCCAAATGAGGATCTCTTCAACACAAGGAGCAAGGCTAGCATCTCTATGATGGTTTTCCTTTTTCTCTCTTGTGTTTACCCTTCTTCTAGCATGGAGTAGTCCCTTATTTCACTTGGGTGTTTGTAAACCCTACCTACAATTATGTGAATGTTTGTATGAGTTGAATGATTTGTGTGTGGATGTGTTCTAATATAAATTTGGAGGTATTTTCATGGAAGATTGTGTAGTGTGTTTGCCTATCAATCTATTTGCCATTCTAACCTAGGTAGAGAGAAAAACCTCTTTCTTTGAAAGAGGCTTGTAAAGTTGGGCTTTCTTAGGGTTGTAAGACACGAATTTGAGCAGATTATTGAGACTTCGATTATTTGAAAAACCCTTTGTTCATAGAGTTTTTACTCTTGAATTTTGTCCTTGTTTGTTGGTGGATCTCCAGCATTCGAGCGAGCTCTGTATCAATGAAGTACCCACCTTGATTGTGGTCGAGTTGCTACCCAATTATATTGTTCGAGCCTATTCCCTATTTTGTATTGAAGTTGCATGTCAATTCCGCCCTATCCTTTACTTATCGAGTGGTCGAGAGAAATATCAGAAAACCGTATAAAGATCGAAGCTGTGTGACTTTAACAAAAATATCTAAGCTTTCACGAGCTCTGGATTCGTATCAACTGGGCTTCAAAGAGGAAGGTGGCCGAATTCGGCTCACACATTTCCTGCTTTGTGTCGACTCTTCGCGTGCTCGTGAGGTGGGGTTGAGCTTGCTCTATGCTATTTCTAACCTGGTGGGAGGCTGGACTGGGCTTCAGAGCAAAACATGGCCTAGTCCGGCTGACACGTTTCATGCTTCTTGTCATCTTTCCGCCTGCTTGTAAAGTGGGGTTGTGCTTGCTCCATGTCAGTCCTTGCCTGTTGGGAGGCTGGAATGAGATTCAGAGCAGAACTAGCCGAGTTTGAGTTACACATTTCACGCCCCATGTCGACTCTCCGCTTGCTCGGGAGGCAGGGTCGAGCTTGCTCCGTGCTAATCTTGACCTGCTGGGACGATGGATGGGCTTTGGAGCGGAACGTGGCTCAGTCCGGCTGACACATTTCATGCCCCGTGCTAACTCTCCTCCTGTTCGTGAGGCAATTTCGGGCTTGCTACATAGCATTCCTGACTTGCTGGGAGGCCGGACTGAGTTTCGAAGTTGAACGTGCCGAATCTAGCTTACACATTTTGCGCACCGTGTCGATTCTCCGTCGGCTTGTGAGACTGGATTGGGATTGCTCCTTGATGAACATACTTTGTGAGACAATTTGTAAAAAGCTAGATGGTCATTCATTCATCTTTACCCTTCAAAAAGAAGTTAAGGGCCGAAACATTAAGGGCTTACAAAAGGAGTGGTGAAAAGCGACCATCTTTGCTGGGTTGATTTTCTCAATTCGTCCTTGCGTAGTACTTCCTGAGATGGAGTGCATTCCATGTTTTGTTAGCGTTTCACCTCCCATTGTGGAAAAATCAAAAGTACTGGGATCAATGCGGCTGGTGGCGAGATATGGTCTTTCCCATGTGACACGAGTTTTCCGTGGCCTTCTTCCTTTTCTTGTGGGATTTGACTAAGATATTGTACACCTTGGCTACCCTTTCTCATTCAACGATCATCTTCAACAGTGCGACCGCCGACCTCCCTTCTCTCTTCTATGAGGTTCATTTGGCTAAGAAGATGCACCTTCTTGTTAGCCTCTTCGTATGCTTAGATCTATAGAGAGAGTAGGCTAACTTCAACTGACCACATTAGCTTCATAGACTAAAGCGAATGAAGTCTCTCATGTGGCCTCCTTGTATGTGGTCCTGTGTGCCAGAAGTATGTGGGGCAACTCGGAGGTCCATGCCCTTTTGACTTCTTTGAGGCATCTTTTTAAGCTACACAGATCACCTTGTTTGAGGATTCTACCTACTTGTTGACTTGGGGGACAACTATTGACAACATGTTGAACTTGACGCAGTGTTGTGTGCATAAGTCTTTGAAAGGTCCGTAATCAAATTGCACCACGTGGTCTGCAATTATCGAGTGGGGGACACTGAAGCGAATTAACACGTTCTTACATAGGAACTTCTGAACTTTGGCAGTAGTGAATATTGAGTTATTCGTTTTTCATTTTCACCTGACCCTATCTTTGAAATTCTAGGTTGAACATCTGAATATTGATGTTAGTTAAGTAATAAGTGTGTGGGTTTTCACTAACTGTTGGATCCAAATACGACTTGTTATTTTGATATAATATTATATGTTATTATTCATATGTTAGATGAGATTTGATATAATTTTGAATTTATATATGTATGAACAATATAGTGACTTTTTCATATATCCAAAAGTTGGGTTAAAACGGTCATACCATTAACCCTTGGCTAAACCGGTTTCATTCTTGTAACGTCACTTCTTGGTTGACATCTGTTTGCTAAAAATTATTTGTTTCCAAAATAACAAAACGAAACTAATAGGTAGACGTCATTTCCTCATAAACATGCACCCCACGTTCCATCATCACCCCCTCCACCACCATACATCACTATGTTGCCCATAACCAAAAAAAAAAAAAAAAAAAAAAAAAAAAATTGAAGACAAAAATCAAAACATCAACAAGACCAAAAGACAACTCCCACATTCAAAGAATCATTAACCAAAAACAAATAGAAAAGAAGATTTTTCACATAAACAATAGAAACCTATCAATCATCCCCTCCACGAACTTTCATTTTCAAAGAATCCTTCTTGGGAGGGTTTTCTACTTTTCTTGGGCTTCATTTCCTCACCCATTGTCATCAAATTCCATCTAGAAACCTTCCCCAAGTCAAGATTGTTAATGCCCATATATATAAACCTTCCCCATAGGCTTCTAGCACTTCCCCCCCCCCCCCCCCCCCCCCTAGTAAATTACATTAGCATGTCTCTTCTTCAGGTTGTACTTGTGGGGTTAAATTATGATGATGAGCCATGATGGTTCAAGAGCAAGAACACAACAGCCACATCCATGGTTTAAGGTCAAGATTGTTCATTCATATTAAGGGCATCCACGTCCATGACCATTCATCCTTAGCTGCTGCAAGGCATCATCATTCTAGCAGCTTCACCGACGTCGATGAAATCGAAACCACCAATGATTTAGAGGAGCAGAATGAAGTAGCAACCATAAACCAGCTCAAACAAACATCAACAGAAAGCACCCAAATTTCATTGAAGATCGATTCCGTAAACAATATGGATTCCAAATCAACACCTTCTGGAACCATGGAAAAGAATGCAGGTAACATTTTTTTTCATTTTTTTATCATGTTGTCATTTCATTCTAAAACCTTCGAAATCAGAGAGACATAGAGCTGAATTGAATTTGTATGTTCGAGGTGCAGAGATGGAGCAAATGAAAGAGAAGTTCGCGAAATTGCTTCTGGGAGAAGATATGTCTGGTGGAGGAAAAGGGGTTTCTTCTGCACTTGCATTGTCAAATGCCATCACAAATCTTGCAGGTAACGTTTATTGATCAACGTCTTCAAAGGCTTAGAGAAGCATATAATAATAAGTCATATGGTTGTTGAAAAGGATGATTCCCAATGTTTGCAGCTTCCGTTTTCGGAGAACAGTGGCGGCTAGAGCCAATGTCTCCCCAGAGGAAAGCAAGGTGGAGGAGAGAAATTGGGTGGTTGTTATCTGTAACAGACCATATAGTTGAATTCGTTGCCAAAAAGCAGGGCAACATTGAGGTAAGAAAAAAACACAAACAAGCAAAAAACCATGCATTTCCCGTCTTTAAATACCATATCTGAAACTTTCTCTGGGTTTCGACAGATTATGGTTACACAACAACGAAACGATCTTCATTTGAACATCCCGGCTTTGAGAAAGCTCGACGGAATGCTGATTGTAAGAACATGATAAACACAGTCTTAAAACTTTATATCAGGCTGTTTCAAAGATTGAAGTGTTGGCAAAATGGGGGGGTTTTTTTTTCCAGGATTGCCTTGACAACTTCAAGGACCAAAGTGAGTTTACTTACGTCTCAAGAGATGCACCAGACTCGGAGAAAGGGCCAAAGAGAAAAGAAGAGAAATGGTGGCTACCAACTGCTAAAGTTCCCACCAATGGCCTATCAGAAACTGCAAGAAAGTTTCTGCAGTACCAGAAAGATTGTGTGAACCAAGTCCTCAAAGCAGCAATGGCAATCAATGCTCAGGTTCTTGCAGAAATGCAGATTCCTGAAAACTACATCGAATCCCTCCCCAAGGTGATATAAGTTACATTTCTCCATTTACTGGACTTACTGGATGAATTGGTTGTCAACACTAATGATGCTTTGCATCGCGCGCGTAATTTTGATTGTTGCAGAATGGTAGAGCTAGCTTAGGAGACTCGATCTACAAAAGTATAACAGTCGAGTTCTTTGATCCTGACCAGTTTTTGTCGACCATGGACCTATCGTCGGAGCACAAAATCCTGGACCTCAAGAACAGGATTGAGGCTTCCATTGTGATTTGGAAGAGGAAGATGGTCCAGAAAGATGGTAAATCAGGATGGGGTTCTGCTGTCAGCATAGAGAAAAGAGAGCAGTTTGAAGATAGAGCTGAAACTATCCTCCTCATCATCAAACAAAGGTTCCCTGGGATCCCTCAGTCTTCATTAGAGATCAGCAAGATTCAATACAACAGGGTAAATACTCACTAAGCAATTGTCTTTCAGGAAGGCTAATTGTTTCTGTAAGCAGTTTGTTAGCCTAAAACTAACTGAAGAGGACATGTTTTTGGATCTGGACTTAACAGGATGTAGGGCATGCTATCTTGGAGAGTTACTCAAGGATCCTAGAGAGCTTGGCGTACACTGTTCTATCACGTATCGAAGACGTACTATATGCTGATCAAGTAGCCAGAAGTCCAACACAAGATGGAAAGAAGAGAAGTCCATTGATATCAGGGACACCACCTTTGGAGGATAGAGACAGGACATCTGTGGATGCACCCTCGGCAATGACACTGTCGGACTTCATGGGCTGGGAAGGCGAGCATAATGACAACGACGAGGACTTGGTAGAAGCTACAGAGGAGATAACGAAACAAGACTCGAAGCTATCGGGGATACTTAATAGTGTAGTGACGAGAAAGACATATCTTGATAACTTGGTAGGTTCGAGAAGCCCAACATCAAGGCATTAAGAAGATGAAAACACCAGAAAAGTAAGACCATGGTGGAAAAATAGGAGAGAAAAAAGCCTGACAGAGAAAGATGAACTTTCTACTGTCATTTTTGAGTTTACTACTATGTCATTTTTGTGAACTCTGTACATATGTAGAGTATGAAATGTAAGAGTTTAAAACCGATGCTCTACTGCCATTCTTTTTGCTTGTTACTAGAGATCAACATTCAGTTAGTATGTTAAGTTTGTTCATCTCTTTTTCTGATTCGCGGTTTGTAATTATACTTGCTCAGTTGCAGCTTATCTTACAAACCCTTATCAGAATGGAATGGAAGAACAGGCTGAGATCACATCTGGAACGAATGTATTTGAGATTGTAATTGACATTGAAAGCATATTTTTGGATAAACTTGCATAATTCACCTAAAGAGGATACACACACATAGATGGATAGATACATACAATGAAGTTAGATTTTGCCGCGAGGACCAAGCTTTGGTGGAAGCTGAGGGCCCTTAACTATAGGCAGAATATCGCCAGAAACTGTAGAGCCCAAGTAAGCAATGGTGGAACCACCTCCCAGTATCAAGAACTTGAGCAACAATCCTCTCTTGGTGAATGGAGCAGCGAACGTCTCGAAGAACTTGCTCTGAATGTTCCATCGAAACAAAAACAAATAGTAAGTCAACAACACGAACTCGTACTAAGGGAAGAAACCATGATTTTGCTGAGCAATAATCTATTTAAGCATCATGTTGACAACAACTTTCAGTGAGTTACGTGATATTAGAATGTCAACAAGCATTTGGATACGATGAAATCCTATATTAAGATATACATTAGTCATGGGAAAGCATTATCTGAAGGAATTGGTGACAATATCCCATTGCCAATGCTACAGAATCATGTAACTAGTATATCCTGGCAAATATCTGGCATTCAATGGATACAAATGATGGTCAACTATCAAACAAAGAGGGGGTGAGAGGGAATGGATGTCATGGTTGTATGTACAAAGGAACAATAAAGTGTTTGTTGCCACCAGAAAAATACCCATCTATTATTTTTTCTCAAGTATACAATTTCTGAATTAAAGACAATAACAGCTTTTATAGCTTAGTTGGTTAGAGCACCCGTTTATTCAACTCTCAATGAAAGCAATTAGTTTATAAATTCATATTTATAGATATGCATGTTCAAATTATTATTTTTTAATTTATATTAATGTATATACCTGTTCAAAAAATTGTTAAGAGTAATGGACAAACCTGAAGAGGATTGTAAGGAGAAGGAGCGTCAGAGCCATACAAATCCCACTGTCCAGTGGTGTTCCCCAAATCCTCCAAATCAAAATACACACTCTTGTCACCATACTTTGCCACCACACCACCACTCCTGCAACAATGAATCCCCAAAACCCCATATAATTTACCTCTATATATTATACTTAACATCACACCCTGCAGCAGATCGATGATGTACCTGGAGGTTTTGGTTCTGAAGCTCTGGCGAGAAGGCTTCACTTGGAGCTTGGTTCCACACAGGGAGCTGCCTCCCAATCCCTTGACGCTGGCGGCTGCTGGTTGCACGGCAGCAAACGTTGCTAGAGAAGCCATGGCCTTTGCTTGCTCTGCTCCTTTCTGTTTGTTCTGTTCGTTCCGCTTTCAGCTTCTACTTTGGCTTCATGAATTGGTGGCTATTCTATATTTTGATTGTTTTCGCCAAGGATCAGAGATGGACACGTGGCACAATGGGTCTTCTTCAGAGAGATTTTGGGTAGTCATTCTTGTGGCTCCAGCGTGGATAAGGCTATCCAGTTGGTCGATCTAAAATAATATATTCCCTCCCATTTTCTGTTTGCTATCGATTTCAAGTCTACGGTGTCGTTTTTATCGGGTTTTGTAACTTAGACCATCTCCAAGACTCTACCAAAGAATTGGAAAAATGCTAGAATGCCAAATAGTTTTGGCATTTTGACACTTCAAAAGTGATTTTCTCGTAATGTCAAAATACCAAAATGCCAAAACTTCTTTTTGTGTGATAATCTAGTTTAGTGTAGATTTCATCATTTGAATTAGATAGTTTGTAGATTATTTGTATACAGATATCAATATTTAATTAAGACAAATATTTTGATAAATTTTTGTTGAATTTCAACATAAAAAAAATTATCGTTAAATATGATGTCATTGATAACAGAGTTGAGAAAAAAGAGTTGTTGGAGGCTAATAGAGTTGTTAAAATGGAATTCAGGGACTAAAAAAGAAAAAAAAAATCCAACGTTAGAATTTTTTTAATTTTAGGGCGACGAATAGCGATTCAAGGGGGCCAAATTCAATAAAAAGGAGGGACCCACGAAAGAAAGAGAATTTGACATTTTTGTCTTTTCCTAGTGGATATTTGGTTAAAAATCTCTCAATTTTTTGCTTTTTAGGATTTTCTAATGGTTGTTGGAGGAGTTATTTTAGCATTTTTGGAAATTTGGCTTTGTTATTGGAGATGTCTAAGGAGTCATTTGGAAAACAAGATTTGGATCATGGATTTATTGAATCCATAGATTTAGCAAAATGTTATGTTTTTTTGCTACTTTTTGTATCGTGGATGGTAGCTTCAGAGATTTTTAATCTCTAAAATCTAGAAATATCAAATCTCTCATAATTAGAGAGATTCTACATCTTGATTGTGGATATTTTCTCCCGCCTACTATATCTCTTATTTTTTTTCATTTATCCCACTAAATACTCTTACCAATAAATTCTCAATATTTTTCGAGTCAATCTAATTATTTTGGTTAAGGATAAAAATGTTATTTGAAAAAAAAATAGAATTTCATTTTTCATTGGATGTTAGTTAGCAAACAATGAACATTTTCAAATTTTTTTTCAATAATCCAGAGAGTTAAAATATTTGGATTGTCTAGAATCTAGAGATATAGACTCTAATTCTCTATCTTCTTCTCTAATAATAATATAATAAATAAATCTTATAAAGCAGATTGTCGGTAAACTTCTCCCCGCAACTTTCGGGGATTTTTTTATTTATTTTAAGCTTTTGGTACTCAAAATTGATTAAACACGATGACTACTAAAATTTACGCCCTTTATTATCTCTATTTTACTCTAATTTTAATTTGACGGTGAAGATTAGGTTAAGGGTAATTTTGAGAATAAAAAAATACCACACCTGATTTTTATCCTTTAAAAAATCAATTTTTATATATTATATACCTTAACCCTACTCCAACCTCATTCTATATCGCCGTCAACACCTCTCCTGTTGGTGGTTTCCTTTTTCCGCTGGCGGCCACCTTCCCAAAGTCGGCCACCCTCGGCCAACCTCCCACGCCCGGCGGCCAACCTCCACTCCGACTACCCTCGCCCACCGCTGCAAGCAACCTCCCGCTGCCCTTTCTCTCAAAAATCCTAGATCTGATTCCCCCCCCCCCCCCCCCCCCCCCCGCATTGGTAGTGATTTTTTCGTAGTGGTAGTGTTTTTTCATATTGGTATTGTTTTTTCCGCATTGGTAGTGATTTTTCCGTAGTGGTAGTGTTTGTTCGCATTGATATAGTTTTTTCCGCATTGGTATTGTTTATCATGTAAGTGTATTGTTTTTTTTTGTGAAATGGTATTGTTCTTTTTCTGTAATTGTAGTGTTTTTCGCATTGGTATTGTTCTTTTTTTTTTTTTTGCATTGGTATTGATTATCATGTAATGGTATTGATTTGCATGTATTGATGTTGATTACATCTGCAATAGTATTGGTGTTCTGTGAAATTGTAGTGTTTTTATTTCTCGACTAGTATTGGTGTTTTGAGCATTTGTAGTGTTTTTTTAATGGTCTGGTATTGTTTTATTGTTGCAGCGGTATTAGTTCGGTAGAATGAAAACAAGGAAAAGATTGAGAAAAGGAAGGAAGAGAGATCTGGTTGGAGATTGTGGAAGTGAGAGAGAGAGAGAGAGAGAGTACAAATTGTAATTAATATATTTTTATAACTTCCTAAAATGTAATATGTTAAAAAGGGTAATTAACAAATTTTTTTCATACCCAATTTGCCCTTAGTAATGACCGTAGCCTACCCTGTGAATTTATATGTTTTTTTTTGTTTTATTTGTTCCCGATAATCATTGTAACACCCTAACCCGTTCGGGTACTACTTTTACTCAAATACCCTTATTAAACCGTTAACCAAAATAAGAACCTAAAAGGACTTTGAAAAATGGCGAAATAAATATCCTTCATAAAATACCTTGAAATTCCAATAACATTTTCTTGAAACTTGCATAAGCGAAAATCATTAATATCTTTAATAAATGCGCATCAAGTCTCAATCTTACTAAGTACATGCGAATTGAATTTCACATATTGAGTGTTCTCTGAAACCGTGAACCTTGTCGTGATCTATCCGCCTTCCCTAAGTGAGCTGCTGGTAATCCTACGATTCCTGAGTGCAGGCGTTGGGGTCAGTTCTAATCCTAATTCCATTCTTTACATAAAATTATCCAACATGCATAATGCGTGCAAATGCTCATGCACTAAATTATATTTACTTGACTTTAAATAATTTCAGGAAAAGGTTTTCTTGATAAGGGGCCCCCGAACTCAACCTAACTAGCGCAACCGTACGACCACTCTAACTCTCTTTATCGATCAATTAAGGATTGAAACTATAAGCTAGGTAACCTAACTCTTTTAACCGTTCAGCTAAGGATTGCAACTAAAAGTTAAGAAATCTAGTCCTCTAAACTGATCAAATAAGGATTGGAAGAACCGATCCCTCAAAAGTTAATCCGGACGACGGATAGCGACCAATCATGAAGGGATCATGGCGTTAATCCGATATTTGAGGCTTGTCCTCATTTTCCTATGTGGGTGACACAAATTGGCCAAGAAATCCAGCTTCCCAAAGCCTCTAACAATAAGCCTCTATCAAAATGACCCAATAATGAGTTAAAGCTAGCAATACTCAATCATTCATCTAGACAAGAGTTCACAATACCCAAGTGAGAGGGAGTACTACTCCATAGCTAGGCAAGGGAATACAACTAAGATGGGGGAAAAAACCATAGTGTGGTGACTATACTCCTTCCTTGTTTCTTGAATCACCTTTGAGAGAAAAAAGCCTTCAATCCTCTAGTTTAGGGCAAGCCCAAATCTCTTTCTTCCTTTCGTTCTTCACTTTCTCTCTCTTAACAAGAAGAAGATCTTTCTTTCTCTCACTAGAATTCCTCCCTTTTTAGGATTTTTTATAACACCTAAAATAGGCGTTATTTGCCCCTTATTATTAAGGTATTTGCATGTTAAATCACAGTGTCTAGGCCACATATAAAGTTATTCATACCTATTTTCATTCCTATTTGCAAAACATGCATTTTTGCATAGGTATTCTTGATATAAAGGTTTTCATAGGGGAACCGACCCCACTTTGTCATATTTTATGCTTTTCAAGTATTTGTGATGAAATTCCAGTTCTTATATGCATTTGGGATTGATCGAGAATCGATTGTAGTTCATCCGAGCATGATTGGGAAGCGTAGGAGCAAGAAGGGAAGAAAAAGCACTGGTCACGGTTGTGACCAGTCCGTGACCATGTTCGTGGCCTTGAAGATCGCGGTCGTGAATAGTTCCTAGAACTTCAGAAGGCAATCGTCAAGGGCAGAAAGTTTTGACACCGAAGTCGCAGTCTTGGTGCTTTTCGACCGCGAGAAATATCATGCTTGTGACACTAAAGATCGTGCTCGTGATCTCGTGAAGGAGGCCGCGATCTGGAAACTTAAAGATGAGACAAAATGCGTCGTTTTGGGCGATTCAAAGACATTCCAGCTGGTCACAGCCAGGTCACAACCGTGACTATCGGGTCACGCCTCGTGGCCATGAACACTACCAGCAACCTATAAATACTCCCTTTTTCTGCAATTGACAAGGGAGAGCCGACCTAGAGTGAGAAAGTTAGGGTTTTGGAATGGTTTAGAGAAGGAAACACAATGGGAGAGCTTAATTAAAGATCTAATCCACCCAATGAGCAAGAAGAAGGTGCAACCAAGGAGAAGAAGATTGATTCCATCACTCCCCCTCTTCTAGTTTGTGTTTCTTTCTATCTCTATGACTTGAATCTCTAATGGTTGTTTAGCGAAAATGAACCCTAGTTTATAGGTTGTGTATGTATGGGTTTTGAAAATGAATGTGTTTGTCTAGTTGATTCTGATGCTTCATCTACTTTAATTGCGCTTGGGTAAGTCTCTCTAATCTTCTCTACTAGC